CTGACTTTCCATCTAGCGCCATCATCAGGTAACAGCTTCAATTTGTCCTGTATATAATAATGTTCCACTGTCTGTACTATATGCCATAGAGTATTGCAGCAAGTTACAGTAAAATGTGTTGTAATTCTGTCTGTTGCTACTGATCAAGTGGGGATTTTTTTACTTTTCTATTTTATTTGCATTTCAGGTGCAAGGCTCAGGTTAGCTGCGATTGTGAGTGGGTGGACAGCTGACGGCTGCTGGACACTGCTGGAGAGGAGCTTCATGAACGATGACGAAGTCTATCACCTTTATTTCACAATGTCAACTCAGTTTTTTCCTTCAACCAGAGGGCTTCAGTGGCTTTGAAAATATGATTACAACATGACACATACTGCAGGGTAGCTGTCTCCATATGAATTTGCCTGTGAAATGGAAAGCATTTTATATTAGTTTTCCATTTTTGCAGTTACACAAACAAAGCAGTGCCCTGCAGCATAATGTTAGTTTGCATTTACTTGCTCTGATGATTGAAATCTGTGACTGTAACTCTCTCTCTCTGTTTTTGAGGGTTTTTGTCAAATTCAGAGCGAGGAAGGAGAGCGGATCTCTTGATATGCAATTAAAGTGAATGTCACTGTAAATGCCAACATTAGTGTGAATGCTCAGCTCAGGTTTGTTGCCTCTGTGACAGGAAATGTTTCTTCCAGTGCAGAGATATTGATTTCAGTATCTTTCAAACTCAGCAGCCCGCCTCACTGCATGGGCGGCTCAGACTGGTAATTGCTTTCCCAACAGGTCTTAGACAGCACAAGATGCAAATACACAGCAAAATAGCACAGACAAAAGAATATGAGCATCATTTCACTGCTTCATTATTTTTGTAATTTTTCTGAGCAGGGGATCGTTTCACTGGTTTGGTTTTTAATGTAAACATAATTGCACAGTAATTGTCAAAGTAAATACTCAGTTAGAAAGCAGTCTATCTGTGTCAGGGCAAGACAGTCATGCATGCACAATAATGAGACATAATCTCTGTAAATATTATTATAATTGTAATCTTAATTGCTGTTGTCTCAATTTTAAAGACGCTCCATTTGTGACATGATCAATTTATTGTACACACAAAACAGAAATGTTATTTTAACGCACTGCCTTTTAAAGGATGTGGTTGTACTTTTAGAGAGTTCAGAAGTGTGCTTGTGATTTTGCTTTTTGACACGACTAAGTAGATTTGTCTCCAGGATATAACAGCAGGTAGAAAGACACAGAGTGCGGTGAAAGTCTCGCCATTGATTGAGCAGAGAAGCTTCACTTTAAATGCTCAAATGTTTACTTTACAGATGAGCTTAACATCTCTCACTGTGAGCCGGCAGCAACCCCAGGTGAAGCATTCATATCTGGACCCAACCAGAACACAAAGAACACACCAACTGGATAAACAGAGGATTTGTTCACAGTCCAAAAAAAAACAAAACAAGATCAATGTGCCGTTTCTATTAATGTGTTCTTGTGGGTGTGTTAGTTCGCTTGTTTCTGCTTCAGCTCCTCATCATAGCTTAATTGAGAAAAAAAGAGACAGTAAAAGTGGAGGCACAGGCGTTGAATAACAAAGTCCCTGTTGAAATTGCAATGCTGTATAAACTGCAATTGACTGTTACGCCTCAGGCATTAACAAACGTGTATCGACTGAGTTGTGCAACAGATATATATATATATATATACATATTTATATATATATATTGCATGTTGTGTTTATGTGTGCATTTGTTCTTTATTCTGTTCCACAGACAAAGGCACCAGTGAAGAAGACGCTCAGTGACATAGGTCTATAATACAATAGGGTACCATTGTAGGATCAATTATCATCTTTTTTTTTGTTTTAACATTTGTTCATTGATTTTTGAAAAGTGGTACAGAAATACAGCAGAACAAACACAAAAGCACACAAAACAAAACATAATACAAAAAAACACTGGCGGAAATCACACATAATTTATCACATAAGGAACAAGGTACAGACATATGACACAGTTCACTTCATATTCATCAAAGCACTTATGCTAACAATATATATAATTAGGTTTAAATGTGTAATTACGGTGTAATTAATAAGTATATAAGGGGTATGAATAAGATACTTACTGGGTACCACTACTTATACCAGCACAAAGAAGACAAGATGCTAGAGAGAATAAGGGTGTGCTTTGTAGAAATAAATATAACTGTAAGTACTATTTAAATCAGTGGTTCCCAACCTGGGGGTCAGGACCCCCACTAGGAGTCGCAAAAGCT